ACCATTCGTCATGTAATCCACAATTCCCATATTTTCCATCGCAAATAGGACATGGTGAGCTCCAACGGCTGAGGTGATGCAAAAATATCTCCTTAAAACTATTTTGGAATTTCAGGTGATCGATTTAGCAAATACTTTCCTGGCTATCGTCTTTTTGAAAACATAGTTTTACACATGCAAACAGGTACTAGCCACATGATGTTAAGTCGTTGTATAAGCCACGTAAAGATTAATCAAGGTTAAAGTCTTTACGATCAATACACTCTTTAAATTTATATATCTTCTGAGGAATCGTAATTTTCAGATTTTCGTCATACCATACTTCAAGAAGATAAATTCCATTAAGCTGATATAAAGTTCTTTTTTTCCGATCACGATCAACAATATCTTCAAGTTTTTTGACATCTTTATACCAGCTAGTATTATGAAGCCGATGTTGTGCCCCTTGCACTTCTAATGCCATTCGATGATATCGGAAGAAAGCATCAAGTTCTAATCCCCTCATAAAAGATGGTCGGTATTCAACAATGGGTTTCTTTCCAAGCAATACTTGAGTAATTAGAATACATTTCTCCTGAAATTTACGAATTTTCTTTGATTCCAATTCTTTTTTAAGTTCATCTATATCTTGTTCTAATTTCACAACACTTGCTCTAAGTTCAGCGTTTTCGGCAACAGTATCTGTCCTATTTTTTTCTAGCTTCTCAATTCTGACCTTAAACTCAGCTTTTTCAGCATCACGCCTGGTACACTTCTCTCTAATCTGCTTTAGAAGCTTAATATACATATCCTCAATATCAGCTTTCTCAGCCTTAATCTTAGCATTCTTAGCCTCAAGTTCAGTAATGTGCTGTCTCAATATTTCATGTTCGGATGACATGATTGATTTATTTGATTATAATTTTATACATGATAGGAATAATTCAATGTTATGTGATGAATGTAAAGACTAGCTTTATTAATACACGCAAAATAAATACAAATGCAGGGCTTTGCCTATGACATATGAAGTTTCTATACTAATGTCTAATCCTACGGTCTAACTACTAACTACTTACTACTTAACATTTAAGTGACTTCAAAATTTCTCCACATAATGCCAATTCAAGGTTCGTAATATGTGTGTTATGCTCTACGCCTTTCGGCTAAGCCACCCATGTAATTCAAAATAAAAAAAAAATAGATGATCCAGCAATTCAGTCTATATGAATATCCTAGGCAGTTACCAGAGAGATAATAGAACTCATCATTAAGGAAGTTTTTCTTTCGTATCCTCCATCACGATGGTAATAACCTCTATCACGTTCACTATATTCATTATATTCACCATATCCATCATAACCATCATCATCATCCGATTTATCTGGCATCGTTTGCTATAAGCAAATATTGTTATTGTGACTATGCTTTAGCGCCTCTGGCCAGTCATTATCATCATTCGTTTCTTCCACTGGATTGGGTGTGGAATCATGATCGACTTCCTCTTCAGAACCACTAGGAACATTTTTGGGTCCTGGAGTAACCTCATCATCTGATTTAACTTCGTTCACCTCCACTTTTTCTACCCTAGCCTCGTTCTCATATGGTGTGCCCCAATTAGCAGTCTCATCATCAAGAGTTCCTGTGAGCATATTTATATAATCACCCAAATCGGCTGATAAGGATGAATTTTCTTCAGGTATAGGCAAGATTTTTTCGTTAGTCTCAGGATTTTTGGTCACATGATTTTGACAGAGGGCTCCGGCTGAAATTTCAGGTATTGGGACATTATCTTCCTGCTTAGAGAAATTATCTATGATCTCTTGAATTTGATCGTTAGCCAACTCTGAAACGGAATTAGCACTATATTCACTAAGATACTTAATTTTATCTGTACCTATTTTCTCAAATATTCTAACAAGTTTCATAGACTTTTGAGTTCTTCTAGTTAAAGAGCTACGGGAGATTTTTGGAAGCTGAATACCCATTTCTTTTGATCTCTTCTCACGAATAGTGGCAAGGTGTTCTAACATCTCATCATAAATTATACCTTTTACTTTTTCTCTCCAATTTTGCCATTACTATTCTCTATGATATTATTATACTGATATATGAATTCTTTTCCAAAGTTAACCCAGCATAAGATTTCCTCCTCGTTGGCTTTCTTAGTACGATACTCGGCATCTGATGCTTTATCAAATAAGTGCGCTAAATCAAGCAGAGATGAAGAGCATTTTGGGCGACGGGCTGTCGCTGAAATTTCAGTCTCATGGAATAGTTCATGGAGTGAACAACCAGAGGAAATTGGCTCTTGATGTTTTACATCATCCTGAATACCGTCAATTATCACTTGGGCAATTTTCTCAACACCTTTTTTCTTATGGCTGTTCTGACAAGATTGCTTCACAACCTCTTGTCCTGAAGATGCCACGCTTTCAGCATGAAGCTTCTTTTCCTTATTGTGTTGCTTTATTTTACTACTAATGATTTTTTTATGAGCCTCAAGTAAGAAACTATCCATATCTTTCTCTTCTAGGCGCTTTGCAGAGTTGGTAGGTGCCGTTATCACCTCTAGTACTGCAACTGAATTGAAGCTAGGTGAACTGTTGTTAGAAGAATTATCATTTGCCATTAAGGCGCTTTGCAGAGTCTGCTTCTGTTCCACTTTCGTGATTCTATCTCTAAACTCAGATTCCATCTCCTCGATTCTAGCCCTGAGTTTGGCATTTTCAGCATCACGCCTCTCATTATATTCCGCATTCGATCTTAGAGTCTCCGCATTCCTACGCTTAAGTTCAGCTATTTCAGCATCAGACACTGAGAGCTTGAATCTAAGATCGCAGATCTCAGTATTCTCTTTCCTAAGCTTTGCATTCTCAGCCTCAAGTTCAGTGATATGCTGTTTCAATAATTCAAGCTCGGATGTCATTATTGATAAATTTTATATAAGAAGTGAAATATTCAAAAAATAATTAGCATATAGAAACTGTGTCATTGAGAAATAGGTTATAAAGTCACCAGATTTTTGGGACCACGCAGTCTCAGAAAAGTGCCAAGAAAATTTTTTATTAATACATGCAAAA